ATAACGAAAACATTGATGTCATTCAAATTTAATACTCCCTTTAAGCTTTTATATCTAATGCAATAATACTTCAAAATTAAAAGTGTTAGTTTCAAGCATTTGAATGCAGTTTATAAGCAAGTTTCTTATACTACATCTAGAGATGAAAATATTGTTAAAGTTACCATTAAAATAGTGATGCCATCATTTGATGGTACCATAGTAACTACGACAGTGAACACGTTGACTATTAAATTCTCAAGTTAGATGACTTCAATGAATTTTCATGTATACATATCACACTTAAACCTCATTATCATTATATGTTAAGGCAAATAAGTTCAAATGGATTCTTAATGAAAAGTTTATTTGAGTTAGCGTGTTAGTTTTTGTTTAGTTTTCCTTTAAAAATGTAAAATTGAATATTGAATTTCTAGTATATTTTACTTTTTGAGCACATATCAAATAAATAAATGTCGTTTAAATAGCAATAAAAGTATACAAGTAAACGAATTAAAAGATCTGCAAAACAAAAGCAGGACTAAAAAGCTTCGTTTCGTCAATTCTAAGTTTGAAGAAGCATCGCTTTCTAGAATAGTATAGACCAAAGCAAAATAAAATCAACGATTGATTGAAATATTTGCCAAATTGTATTTGTAGTGATTTTTAAGGTATTAGATTGATCAATTTTGACTATTTACGATCACTCAAGATATCCTGACTTATTTGTAAAACTCGGGTTTTACGTGTTCCTGCAGAAAAAGATTTTGCTTCAAGCAAATTATAGAAATTTACTTTTTTAATGTCAAAAATGTTATTTCTTTTAGTGGGAATTTTCATTGAGTTGTGAAATAGGTTGTCTACAGTAATGAATAAATAATGTTACAGTAATTTTATCTCTCACAAAATCAATTCCTTTTTAATTTAAGTGATAGACATAAGTGACACTTAAGGTCAGCTCATCTAGTATATCAAATTTAATACCAAAATATTTTTTTTATTGAAGCCTTATTAAAATATAATATCTTAATGTTAACCGCTCAGTTCATTAATCTAATTTCATTTTCATGTTAATCTTAAATAAAATGTATATTTGGTTATTTACTTATTAATATTGCAATGAATAAAAATGATGTTTATTTCAAAACATTATGAAAATCTTATTTGCATGAAAAACGTTCTATGTACTCTATTTACATTTTTTATGTACATCTCTTATGCATTTATGTACATATGTTATGCAGTTAATATTAATATTTTATTCCATTTTTAATAATTTAATTTTATTATGCTATACAAATTTCAATGAAAATTTTTCTTATATTTTTAATATTTTATTTTTCTAAATATTTTTGTCTAAAGAAAAACTAAGATTTTTTTATTTTTATAGATTTCTAAAAAAAGATTATTTTTTCGTTTTATAAAAATATATTTATTAAAAAATAACATATGCTTTATAAAGAAATTCTGAAGGATATTCAAGTGCAGTAAACTGAAAAAAGGCATTAATGTTGCAAATCTATAGAAATTTATGGTAAAGCGCGTGGTAGTCACTCCAGACGTATGGGTAACATTTTTACATGAGGTTTCATATATTTGTGCATATTTTCATTCATTTTCATTTGTGGTAGTATATACTTTCTGGAATTCTATTGAAAAAAGTTTCTTTCTGAAAAATTCCTGTGATTTTGTTAAAAAACTTTTTCTCTTTTCGTAAAAATATACTTTACATAAAAAAAATTAAAACAAATATCATATAATAATAAATTTTAAAATAAATTCTGCGTATAAATCACGTTTCATTTATGCTAATTACGTTTTTCGTTTGTATAAGAATTTCATTTCATTTTAATTTTGTTTATGTTATGCTGAGGCCAAAATAGTCTCGAATTAAAGAGCGCAAATGAACAAATATTTATTATTTCCGCTTCCAGTTTTTATTTCGCAAAAATTAATTGAAAATTGTTTTAACTTTTTAACAAAAGAAAAAAATAAAATAATAATAACACTGAAAGATAAACATATATATTATTCAAGTCAAACAAAAATGAGAAATATATACATCCAAATAAATTCATGGATTTTTCTGATAAGAGTAAAGAAAAATGGCATTCAACAGTTCGTCGGTCATCCTG